ACACACACACACACACACACACACACACACACACACACACACATACACACACACACACACACACACACAATTACGCGGAGAAATTCTTCTAATTCATAACGTCGGAGTTGAATATCAAGTGTAGTCTGCTTACGGGGAGAAATAGCACGGGCGGTAAAAACTACGCTCAACGCTGTTTTTTCGGCTCTCGAAAATGAATCAACATGTCTAGATTTTAAACGAAGTTGATAAAATACGGCAATCTTTTCTTGCCGACTTTACCACCAGACATCCCTGCGATGGGAGCCGATCTAACGGTTGTGACTTCTCAACATCGATTCGTGCCAATATATCTACTGTGTGCATCCGATCAAAATCAGGTCGATATAGTTTGAGAATTCAGGGACATAACCTCATAACATATATCATTCATAGTCCGAAGGTCTGTCCCGAAGAAGGGAGCTTGATATTCTAAAAGATATGAAGCTTTTCTACGGTAATCCACAGGGTGGTAGTCTGGCGGTCTCATAAATATTAGGCTCATCTTCTACTTCTTCTTCTTCTTCTGCTTCTTTGTTCTTTGTTCATTGTTCTTTGTTCTTTGTTCTTGTTCTTGTTCTTGTTCTTTGTTCTTGTTCTTGTTCTTGTTCTTGTTCTTCTTCTTCTTTTTCTTCTTCTTGTTCTTCTTGTTCTTCTTGTTTTTGTCCTTCTTCGTCTTCGTCTTCTTCTTCTTCTTCTTCTTCTTCTTCTTCTTCTTCTTCTTCTTCTTCTTCTTCTTCTTCTTCTTCTTCGGGACAGTCCATTGGACTATGAATGGTATCTGTTATGGGGTTATGTCTCCGAATTCTCAAACTGTCTACCGGATTTTGGTCGGCTGCGCACAGCAGATATATTCCTGCCTCGTCGACGTTCGAAAGTCACAACCGGATTTACCACTATGGCGGCTAGCAGCGCCACCTGCACTCGAGCCGACGAGCGGCCGACAGCGACGCAGTAAGACGTACCTCTAGATCGTTGAAGAATAAATGGTGGTCGGCTAGATTGAAGATCATCTCTTCCATGCGCAGTCCTAGCGTCATCGCCTGCTGAGGGTCCTGTAACAAGCGTGAGAGATGAGCTTAGTACGATGCAGTGAGGACTAATGTAGTGTGTGTGTGTGTGTTGTGTTGTCGCGTGTGCGTAGTGTGTGGTGGTGTGTGTGGTGTTGTTGCTTGTTGTGTGCTGGCAGTGTGGCGTGCCTCGTGTGTAGTGTGGGCAGTGTGTGGTGTGTGTCTGTGGTGTGGTGTGCGTGCGTTCGGCGTGCAGGGCGTCGATAGCGTGCTGTGTGTGTGGGGCAGTGTGCCGTGCGTGCGGCGTGCTGTGTGTGCTTGTGTATGTGTGTGTGTATGTTGTGTGTGTGTGTGTGTTGTGCGTGCGTGTGTTGGTGGTGTGTCGTGCGACCCGTGCGTGGGCGTGCGTGTGTGTGCGTGTAAAAGAATAGGAACGGAGTCGAGATAGACATTGGCCTCTCGGTAGAATCGCGCTGGTTGTCAGCACCACGCCGCCGGACATTCAGTAAAGTGAAAGGCGCCCAAAATCACACTGCTCGCACGCCGTCCGTCGCTCTGCTGGCTCTCACAGTGGTTCTCCCTCTACCAGTATTTCTTTCCATTCACACGCGCAGCATGAGAGCATCAGTATGGTAGCAGCGTGAGGGCTTGGCGAGCGCTGTCTACCACCTCGCTACTAGCGTGGCATTTCTTGGGGTCTGGTCCTCTACGGCCCCGCACTGCTTTATTGGCAGCAAACGAGAATATTGTTCCAAACCATGTAAGAGCAGCTGCCACTGGCTGCCAGTCAGCCCGCGCTGTGCGTGGATGGATCACCGACGGAGAGATGCGTGCGTGCGTGCGTGCGTGCGTGCGTGGCGTGTTTACGTCGCGTGTGTGCGTTTAGGTGCGTTGTTGGTGCGCGTGTGTTGCGTTCGTGCGTTGTTGTGTGCGTGCGTGTGTATGCATGTACAGCGCTCGGGTATGGGAAGCCGGGACTAGCAAGGCACTTATATACTTATTAAGGCATTTATTAGTTATTACTATTATTGTATATACTTATCGGGACTTACGCTCTACCGATATAACAAGCACACCAGCGCATTAGCTCGCAGTCGGCGATGAAGACGGCTGGCGGTGCAGCTAGCAGCCACTCAAGCCACGCAGCGACAGCAGGCAGCACCGCCACCTAACCTACTCTGCCACCGCCACCGCCGCCTACCACCACCACCACCACCTGACCACCTACCACCACGTCACCACCACCACTACGCACCTACCGCCACCAATCGGCCACCACCACCCACCACCTGCCAGCCAACCCGACACCACCACGCACCACCGACCCCGACCTACTACCATCCGACCATCCGTGCAACCGGCATCCACACCACCACCACCAGCACCACACCATCCCCACCACCGAGTCACACCGACCAACCCATACACTCAACTCTGACCACCACAACCACCAACACCACCACTCGACCAACACTCAAACGCACCAGCACACCACACCACCGCTCACGCACTGCCTACCAACCAACCACCACCACCAAACAGACCACCGACCTACCTAACCGCCGCAACGGCACCACCTACCTATCCACACCGTAGCACACGATCGTGTCTAACGCAATAATTTACGATAGTTTAAACGAGCCGGTACAAGACGCACGCCCTTCGACTCACTTCCAAACTCCGCTCCCTTCGCGAACGTGTTCTGCGCTATAAAAAGAACTGTCCGCACGAAAAAAACAACAACCCAGTGATGTATGCGTGTCACAGGAGGAGGCGGCGTTGCCATGGGCAACGAGGGCACGACGTGACAAAGGACACGAGGAGGTAAGAAGGATGGGAGAGCGAGGAAAACAGACGGGGAAGGAAGAGGAAGAGGGTGAGAGAGATGGGGGAAGGAAGAGGGAGACGGAGAGGGAAAGCAAGGAAGAGAGATAGAGCGATGGGAAAGGAAGAGAGCGAGAGGGATGGGGAAGGGAAATGGAGAAGGAGAGGGAGAGGTAGAGGAAGAGGAAGAGGGAGAGGGAGAGGGAGAGGGAGAGGGAGAGGGAGAGGGAGAGAGAGAGAGAGAGGGACAGAGAAAGAGAGAGGGAGAGATAGAGAGAGAGAGGGAGGGAGGGGAAGATAGAGAAAGAGAGAGGAAGAGGGAGAGATAGAGAGAGAGGGAGAGAGGGAGGGAGGGGGAGGGGGAGAAAGAGGGAGAGAGAGGGATAGAGAGAGAGAGAGAGGGAGGGAGGGAGAGAGAGAAAGAGGAGACGTGAGGGTGTGAATTCTGACTGCTAGCTAGGCGACATGGTCCCGTACCCACATCGCGCGCCTCTGTCTTTCATGTGTTTTCCCTCTCCCTCTCTCTCTCTCTCTCTCTCTCTCTCTCTCTCTCTCTGTCTTTCGATCTCTACCTGTACCACTACCTCTTCTCTCTCCCCCCCTCTCTCTGTTTTCCGCCTGCAGCAGCAGCAGCAGCAACATCACCACCACCACCACCACGCACGCAGCAGCAGCAGCAGCAGCAGCAACAGCATCACCACCACCACGCACGCAGCAGCAGCAGCAGCACCACCACCACCACCACCAAGTACCACGCACGCTGCAGCACGCACGCAGCAGCAGCAGCACACTCTGCTCACACATACGCTGTCAATTTGCGCTCTGTTTTGTGTTATTTAATAATTTTATGCACCACGCCGCATTGATGCATACCACAGCAGCAGCAGCAACAGCAGCAGCAGCAGCAGCGATCACAGGGTCGTAGTCATAGTAGAATATGCATCTAATTAGCTGAGATATATTGCAGGAAGGAAGTGCAAGAACCCGCAACGACCCTCCCGCGAGAGAGAGGG